TTTGTACTAAGCTATAAATTTTAAAACAACTTAGTTAAGTTAAATATATAATTATTATTAATATTTATATATTTTTTCATTATTTTTACTATTTTATAAACATTTATATTAATATAAATAAGTTAAATATTTTCATTATTTCTACTATTTTATAAATATTTATATTAATATTAAATAAGTTAAATATTTTTTAATTTACAGTCAGTTAATTAGTATTGATTATTTATAAATAAATATAATTTAAACACTTTTTATTATATATTAAATTACTAAAAAAATTATTACTTAATATATTTTAGAATATTTCTATTATTTATAAATTATTTTAACTATATTTGTTTAAAACTATTGCAATAAAACTTTTTATAAATAATAAGTTATCAATTAGTCTATATTGTTATAGCGCAGTCACTGATAATATAAAATAAAATTAATTTATTCTGATTTCAATCATATTTGATTGCTTTTATTGATTTACTTCACTTTGAAAATTGATCTGTTTCAATTTTCAAACATTTTATATATATTTGACTGCTCATTTATTTTAATATTTTAATTCTCAGTTTAGCATTATCATCACAGCTGTCTAATTAAATAGATGAATTGAACTTTTTGTCTAATTATCAACATGCCTCTAGTTAAATCATAACATGTATTACTTATGTAAAATTAATGAAAAAATTGAAATAAACTTTTTTTATAATAATTAAATAATAAAATAACTATTAAATGATATAAAATATAAAAAAATATAAAATATAAAATTAAATCTTATATTAAATATTAAATTTAATAAAATAATATTTAAAAATATAATATTTTAATTAATATTAAATGATTTTATTTAATATTTTTAATACTATTAATTAAAATAATTATAAATTGACTTTATATATAAATTATTATTATATTTAAATTAAAAATTATATTATAATATATATATATGAATTTTATAATTATTTATTTATTAAATTTTTTATTTAATTTATTTAAATTTATTTTTAATAATATTTAATAATTATTATAATATCTAAAATAAAAATTTATATTTTTACTTTATTAAATTTTTTACTTAATAAATTATATAAATTAAAATTAAAATATTAATATAAAAATATTTTTATAAAATATAAAATAAGTTTTTAATTAAATTTTATAAATAAAATAAAATTATTTAAATTTAAAATTTTTATATTAAAAATAATTTATTATTTTTTATTTTATTATATTATTTAAAATTATTAATTTTTATTATTTAATATTATTTAATATTATAATAAAAAATTAAATTCTTTATAATAAAAAATAATTATTAAAATAAAATTTAAATAAAATTTTAATTATATTTTTATAATATATTTATTAAATAATAATAAAAAAATTAAAAGAAAATATTTTATAAATTAATTATATATATTTATATATATTTATATTTTAATATTAAATTAATAATAAAAATATTTTTTAAAAAAAATTAACTTTAAACTTTAATAAAACTTATTTTAAAAATATATTATTGAAAAATATTAAATATTTATATATATTTTTATTTTTAATATATTTTTATTTTTTATTATTAAAATTTTACTTTAATTAAATAAA